TAGCGAATGTTTTAGGAGCCTGTGGTGAAATTGGGCTGCACTGAAAATAAAAAGCAGGCATTGTACAGATGTAGAAACAGGAGTAGGCCATTCAATCCCTCAGGCCTGTTCTGCCATTCACTATGATCATGGCCAACCTGATTGCACCTTCAACTCCCAGGAGGTTAGATTTTTGACTAACAAGGCAGCCAATCTACTTCGGGCCTACACCAACTTCCCTCCAGTTTTCTTGTATGTGTGGCCCATATCGGCAGCCGTCAGCAAAAAAGAATTAATTTTAACTTTTCTTTTTAAGTTTGTGTGGAACCAGGATGACCTGAAATGGGGATGCTGTTCCCCACCCTCCCCATTCCTGCACCATGGGGCTAAAGCAGCCTGATCTCTGCTACGCAGATGAAGGAACACTCTGAATGCGGAATGAACCAAAGAGCTACAGGTGCCGGAAATCTGAAACAAAACCAGAGGTATTTGAAGAAACTCAGCAGGTCTGGCAGCATCGGTGGAGAGAGAAAGTACAGTCAGCAAGCCACATCCAGTGACCCTTCTTCAGAATTGAACTGGAGGGTCACTGGGGTGAGAAGCGTTAATTCTGCTTTCTCTCTCCACAGATGCTGCCAGACCTGCTGAGTTTCTCCAGCTTTTCTGGCTTTGAGCCTGAAGGTGGAGGATGGCAGAAACCTGAGTTAAAGGAAGCCTGAGGGCCCAGTTCCAACCTTCCTGAATGGGCCCAGACAAACACTTGTACTGCTCTGTCTGGTCTTTGCCCTCTTTATGTTTCTCTGAGGTTCCTGCAGGCAGTCTCGGCGGCAGAGCAAGGAGGGAAAGCAGCAAAAACATCTAGTGTAGAGGGATTGGCCGACCTGCCATGGAAAGGTGGCCCTCAGTAGAATAAAGCCTTACAACTATTTGCATTGAGATTTCTATCCACTCCTTGTGCATCGTAGAGAATTTGAAATCTCGTGTACGGTGATGATATAAATTGTCGAGGCATGTGTGTGTGTGTGTGTGTGTGTCAACCAAGGAGGAACATCAACCATTCTGATAACAGATTACCAATTTCTGTTTGGGTTCAAATGCCTCACCAAAATCTTTTGACTTGTCTTCAAATATGAAGAACAAGTTAGATTCGCCAAGTGATCTCGGATTGCCCCCCGCAAAATGCCTGCAGAGGAAGTCTGCTGCAGGCAGACAATGTCCAGGGATTTTGTTTTTGGGATAGGGGAAGTGGGGACATGAAGCTGTTGTCCTGGATAGTGTTGAGTTTCTATAGTGGTGTGCAGAGCTGCATCCATTCATGCAAGTGGGGAGCATTCCACGCTAACCTATGCCTTGTACATTGTTGGATACACCAGGAGAAAATATGGGCAAATTAAACAGAAAGCAAGGACTGAGAAAGAACTTATGGACGCCATTTGTGAAGTTATCAACGTAACAATTTTAGTCAACTATTTGGTCATATTGTAATACAACTGCTGGGCAGGTGGGATTTGAACCCAGATCTTCTGACTCAGAGGTACAGACACTACTACTTGTGCCTTAATACATGCCTTACTGACACTAGCGTTATCTATTCCCTAGATTTGTCAATTTGATATTTCTTCTTGGAGTATTTTGTTATCATAGAAAGCATAAATGCTTATATTGCATTTGATGAGCTAATTGGCTGTGAATAATACTGTGATCCAGTCAGAAATGACAGTAGCTGATATTGGTTGGGGCACGTATCTTGTTGCACAATGTTACTGTCCCTTCCTCAGAGCCAGGAGAGCTGGGTTCAAATCCCTTTTGCTTCAGAGGTCTGTCAAATATCAAAGAACCGGTTTCTGAAAGGACCTTATGGTGCAGTGGTAATGTCCCTACCTTGCAGCCAGGAGACCCAGATTCATGTCCCACCTCGCTCTAGAGATGTGTAACACCAGCTCTGAATGGGTTGATCAGAAAATACTAAAGAGAAACCAGTTTCTGTAGCCCATAATAAGCTCCACGCATAAGTTGAACAATTGGAAACACAGATGATTTCCTGGTGATGGTTAATGGATGAACAATATAATGGATGATGTGGTGCGCAGAAAAAACACTCAGTTGTTTTTTGTAAAAAAATATGAAGAACAAGCCAGACTGAATATATTGAAAATAAAACTGGTTTCTGGTTTCAAGTCCCACCTGCTTGGGAGGTATGTGATAACATCACTGAACAAGTTGATTAGAAATATTTTTTAAAGAGGAACTGATATTCTCCCTCAATGCCTTTAGAGAGAGGTGGGCATTATTTGGGCTGGAGTGCATTATCTTCCCTTCCAGCTTTAATTTGACTTAATTCCCTCCCTTGTTTTCCTACCCTTTTCTGTTATTCACTTGTAAGACGTGGATGTCACTGGCACTTACTACCCATCCTTTGCTGCCCCTTGAGAAGGTGGTGGTGAGCTGCCTACTTGAACCGCTGCAGTCCACCTGCAGGGTGACCCACAATGCCCTCAGGGAGGGAGTTCCAGGATTGTGACCCAGCGATACTGAAGGAACGGCGATATAGTTCCAAGTCAGGGTGGTGAGTGACCTGGGGAGGGGACAATGCACGGGGTGGTGTTCCCATGTATCTGCTACCCTTGTCCTTCTGAATGGAAATGGATTTGGAAAGTACTGTCTGAGGATCTTTGGTGAATTTCTGCAGGGAATCTTGTAGATAGTACACACTGTTGCTACTGAGCGTCAGTGGTGGAGGGAGTGGATGCTTGAGGATTTGGTGCCAATCAAGCGGCTGCTTTGTCCTGGATGGTGTCAAGCTTCTTGAGTGTTGTTGGGGCTGCCCCCATCCAGGCAAGTGGGGAGTATTCCATCACACTCCTGACTTGTGCCTTGTAGATGGTGGACAGGCTTTGGGGAGTCAGGAGGGGAGTTACTCACTGCAGTATTCCCAGTTTCTGGCCTGCTCTTGTAACCACTGTGTTTATGTGATGAGCCCAGTTGAGTCTCTGGTCAATGGTAACCCCCAGGATGGTGAAAGTGGGGGATTCAGTGATGGTAACACCATTGAATGCTAAGGGGCGGTGGTTAGATTGTCTCTTATTGATGATGGTCATAGCCTGGCATTTCTGTGGCACGAATGTCACTTGTCAGCCCAAGCCTGGATATTATCCAGATCTTGTTGCATGTGAACATGGACTGCTTCAGTATCTGAGGAATCATGATTGGTGCTGAACGTTGTGCAATCATTGGTGAACATCCCATTTCTAACCTTACGACGAAGGGAAGGTCACTGATGAAGCAGCTGAAGATGGTTGGGCCTGGGACACTACCCTGAGGAACTCCTGCAGAGATGTCCTGGAGCTGGGATAACTGACCTCCAACAACCACAACCATCTTCCTCCGTGTGACTCCAACCACTGGAGAGTTTGCCCCCAATTCCCATTGATTCCAGTTTTGCTAGGGCTCCTTGATGCCACACTCGGTTGAATGCAGCCTTGATGTCAAGGGCTGTCACTCTCACCTCACCTCTGGAATTCAGCTCTTTTGTCCATGTTTGAAACAAGGCTGTAATGAGGTCAGGAGCTGAGTGGCCCTGGCAGAGCCCAAACTGGGCGTCACTGAGCAGGTTATTGCTGAGTAGGTGCTGCTTGATAGCGCTGTGACTGACACCTTCCATCATTTTACTGATGAACAAGAGTTGACTGCGGTGGTAATTGGCTGGAAACAAAAACAGAAGTTGCTGGAAAAGCTCAGCAGGTCTGGCAGCATCTGTGAAGAGAAAATCAGAGTTAAACGTTTCGGGCTCGGTCACCTTTCCTCAGAACCGGACCCGAAACTTTAACTCTGATTTCTCTCCACAGACGCTGCCAGACCTGCTGAGCTTTTCCAGCAACTTCCGTTTTTGTTTCTGATTTACAGCATCTGCAATCTAATTATTCGGTAATTGGCCGGGTTGGATTTAGCCTGCTTTTTGTGTACAGGACATACGTGGGCTATTTTCCACATTGTCGGGTAGATCCCAGTGTTGTAACTGTACTGGAACAGCTTGGCTAGGGGAGCGGCAAGTTCTGGAGCACAAGTCTTCAGTACTATTGCTGGAATGTTGTCGGGGCCCATAGCCTTTGCAGTATCCAGCGCTGCCTTATTGTTACTCAGCCTCTGGTGTGCAGCGGTAGTTATTTCATTATCAGATTAATTCAGTGATTCGGTGATTAGGTGGTAGGTTTATAAAATAAAAGAACTGGTTTCTACCCAAAAGGGAGCTGAACTGTGGAAGGGTTGAGCAGTCTGTAATTTGTGAATAAACAGTTATAGAGTCATACAGCTGTCATACAACATGTCAGCACAGAAACGGACCCTTCGGTCCAAATCATCCGTGCTGACCAGATATCCTAAATTAATCTAGTCCCGTTTGCCAGCATTTGGCCCACATCCCTCTAAACCCTTCCTATTCATGTACCCATCCAGATGCCTTTTAAATGTTGTAATTGTACCAGCCTCCACCACTTCCTCTGGCAGCTCATTCCATACACGCACCACCCCCTGCATGAAAAACGTTGGCCCTTAGGTCCGTTTTAAATCTTTCCCCTCTCCCCTTACACCTATGCCTGCTAGTTATGGACTCCCCTATCCTGGGGAAAAGACCTTGGCTCTTCACTCTATCCATGCCCCTCATGATTTTATAAACCTCTATACGGTCGCCCCTCAGCTTCCGATGCTCCAGGGAAAATAGCCCCAGTCTATTCGGCCTCTCCGTATAGCTCAAACCCCCCAGTTGAAGAAGACAAACTAGTTCCTGCTCCTTCCTTAACTGTGTGAATGTTTACCAGGTTAACAGTGAATATGAAGACGAACTCGGAATTAAATAAAGGGTGATGGATGTATTTTAATGAAGTGGCAGTACACAGGCTACTAATCAATACCACTGTTGATGCTAAAGAGCTGTTTCCACTGTTTCAGGCTCTTGGTAGAGGTTAGTGCTCAAGCCAATACATTCAATAAATCAAATTTAAGAACATAACGTTCCAGGCACTTACCCGAGGTCCTCGTTTTCCAGGTGAACCTGGTAACCCTGGAGGGCCTGGGGGACCCTGTAGAGAAACAATTAACATTTATTTGAAGCATGATACAGTCATTATTCTATCTCACAGTTCCGCAATTAGTTCCTCATCCTACTTGAGGTGACACAGTGGGTTATTTGCCAGAATATCGGTTTGATTTTCCACGGAAGAATTACGAATTTTCAGGGAAATGATACAGACTTGACAAGGTCAGCTCTTAATGAGGCCATTACCGTACATGCTCATGTAAAAGTCGAATTTTTTTAGACTTTTTTTAAGGTGAAATTTATGAGGTCGACTGTTACACAGATACTACTTTTGAGGGGCTGAAATTCATGCTATAGTCCAAAATACTGTAACATTTGCAGAAACCCACATTTGCAGAAACCCAACTGGTCTCTAAATGAATAAAGAATAAAAAACACAATGAATTATAGTAATTACTGTAATATCTTCTAGTTCAGCAGGCACCTTTTCTGCAATCTTAGTTCTCTGCTAAAGTACTAAGTCATGCCTTCTCATGAACCTTGTACACCATCCAACACTTGCCTTAAAATCCAAAATTCTATCCTTCTTTGAGTCATTTCATGCATGAATTCAGATGGATTCATGACTAACACATTTTCCATTTTCAAGCACCCACTCAGCAACTTTTTTTTCTCCAAATGTGGCCACTTGCTAGATTTACCTTGGTTGGCACACTTTCGTTTTGGCGCTGTCTGAAATCAGTTCGATACCTTTCTCCGGTCTCTCACCAGTTTCTCCGAGACATAAAATTCTCCTGCCGCTACACAGTTATTTACCTTCTCTGCAACTTCAATAACATTTCTGTTTAAATGCTGCTGTGTATTTTTCTGGTTTTTTTTTCTGGAGTGCACTTTTACGCAAAATGATGACGAGACTTCAAAACATAGAACAGCGCGAGAAAAGAACTAATTTCCTCATTGTAACATTTATGGACAAGATAATACCTCAACTCACAAATGTTGATCTGTTATCTGTGAAGGACTAGGGTCGACTTTTACATGACATATAAGGAAAATTCCAGATTTTATGGCCAAAACTGGTGGGTCAACTTTTACATGAGATCGACTTGTGCTCTAGCATATATGGTAATTGTGACACAGTAATCTCTGCACTGAGGAATGAGATTTAGCAGGCGCAGAGATGATCCAGCTATATTTTTCCTTGCAAGCCACCATCACTGATTGGTTCTGAGCATCTTCACCCGTAGAAAAACCCTTGGCCACTACACTTTGGCAGAAATCAACTGTGAATTTCTCACGGGAAATGTACATGGCAGTAATGCAATTGTAATGTCACTGGACTCCAAATCCAGGAGCTCAGGCTAATGTTCTTAATAACCTTCACTGAAATCTCACCAAGGTGGAATTTAAGTTCAATTAGTGTGTCTATTCTGGCGCAGTCATGATGGGCTGAATGGTTTATTCTGCACTGTATCAACGCTCTGACACCATGATAAACACTATCACAGTCCCGGTCTCATAAACATTCTGATAAATAAGGCTAGACTTTCCCCTGTGATCTCTCATTACACCTAAATGACTATATAGTCCTTCACAACTAGGCACTGGACTTGAAACGTTAACTCTGCTTTTCTCTCTCCACGGATCTGCTGAGTTTCTCCAGCAATTTCTGTTTCTGTTTCAGATCTCCAGCATTTGTAGTTCTTTGTTTTACTTTAATGATCCATCCTGACTTGTGCCTTGTCAATGGTATACAGCCTCCAGGAAATTGGGAAGTGAGTCATTTGCTTGTCAATGTTTGATTTTGACATAGCCCAAGATTGCAAAAGACTCAAGACCATGTAGTCAACTTAAAAAGGATCACTTAAAGGCACAATACAAAGATTTTAGTAGATTAACACTCAAGTAGGTTACAAGTGCAGTTAAAGACACAGGGTAACTGTGACCCTAGGATTAGCTCTTAATGCATTTTGACTTCGCTATACAGGGAACAATGTCAAAATCTGCAAATGACACAAAGCTGAGAACTGTAGTAAGCAATGAGGAGGATAGCAAAAGGTTTTAGGTGGGCACAGACAAACTGGTGAAATGACCAAATGCACAGTAGCTTAAATTTCCACCAGCAAAATGTCAGGACATACATTTTGGAAGGAAGAACAAGGAAAGGAGATGGAAGTGAAACTGTTTAAACAGGATACAGGAACAGAAAAACCTGGGTGTACACGTGCACAGATCTTTGATAAATCCAGTCAATATTGGACGATGCCATGAAATCAATTTTCAAAAGTAGATTTAAAGATATCCTATGGGATTAACTACCGAAGGGCAATCAATATACAATCACAAAAATAGGATTCTGCTTGAACCAGCTTCATGACTTTATGTGGGAAAAACTTCTGACTTGATTTTTGAAAACACATGACAACATTGGGCACAAAATACTGCCAACCTTAAGTCTGGAGTTTTAGGAATCAAGGAAAATCCAGAAATAAATAAGTTGGCCGAACGGTAGGAAACTTTGTGCATTTGTAGCAAAAGTTGTGGCCAGGGATCAGAGCTGGGGCCCTCACTAATTGTACTTTATATTAAAGATTCATATTCAGAAGTTTAATGCAAACAGTTCACAATTGCAGGGGATACCAAACTAAGAAAGGGTCAGTCCAATTTAAGGACAATAATCACAAAATAGACAAGTACGCCAAGAAAATTGTATGACGTAGTTTATACCATAAATGGGTTACATTAGCTCAGGGAAAGAGCCTTCTGCAGGCTTCATTTTCAACAGGGATAGGGCAAGTGATATTATTGAACTAGTAATCCTTAAAGTCAAGTTCATGCATTGGTGACACCAGCTTAAACCTCACTTTGGTAGCTGGTGGAATTTGAATTTAACTAATATGTCTGTAATTTTAAGACAAAACTAGCCTAAAGGTGACCATGTAACCAGTGTCAATCGGTTCACTAATGTCTCTCAGAGGTTGGAAATCTGGGCTGCTCTACATGTAACTCCAGACCCAATGTGGTTGACTCAACTGCCCTCTGACATGGCCTAGCAAACTACTCAGTTCCAGGGCAATTAGGGATGAGGAACGCACCAGGGTCCCTACGCCCCATGAAAGATTAAAGAAGAACAATTTAATACTGAACTTCGAGCCCAAGAGTATAGTCGGAGCAAATTACTGTAGGTACTGGAGTCTGTACTGAAAACAAAAATCACAGCAGGTCAGGCAGCATCCATGGAGAGAAAGCGAGCTAAGTTCTGATGAAGAGTCATCTAGACTCGAAACATGAGCTTGCCAAGAGTATAGTTTACAGGTTAGAGAAGTTTGAATAAAAGTGTTCCTCACGCAGAGAGCCGGCGCTAAAGCAATGGGCTGAATGGCCTCCTTCTGCTCTCTGGTTCTGTGTGAGACGTAAACACATACCCCTTAGTTTGGAATTATTTCCGTGGATTTTTACTGCCTCGCTTAGCTGTTACATGTCTTTTATTGTCTTGTTGTTGCTGCACCTGGATATCATTCCCAGGTTCCCCTGTTTCTTCAGCTTTTCCATATCCAGCTGGTCATTAACCTTGCTGACGAGAGCCCACATTCCTGATGTTACTGTGTAGGCATCCCTTTTCCAAGAGCCCTGAGCTTTCCTTCCCCTCATCTCTACAGAGAGACACGACGAGGACTTGTCTTGTGGTGTGTAGCGTCCCTGCCTTTGAGCTGGAAACTCGAGTCCCTGCTTTGACGGCGAATGGAAGTATGTTGAATACATGGCCAGGCAGGTTATGCATTAACCTCATTAGCAGAGGGAGAGAATCCTGGCCTGGCTTGTGATGGAAGGGAGCCTGCAGTTTTTGCTATCACCGCCTGCTGCTGCACACTGCAACATGCATGTTATCGCAGCAACTCAATCTCAACAGTCTGTAGCTCAGCACCACAAATGGCGATTCCTTTCTCTCTGTAACGCTGCACTTTGGAACCTCCCTCCACCACCTCCCTCCACCACCCTCGCGCGTACAGCGCTCACTGGCACCACTCACTGTGAGAACATCGTTCCCACTGTCGTTTGGAACAACCGCTCGCTCCTTCTGGATTCTCCCTACAGTGGGAACAGTCTCTTCCTAAATCCATTCTGCCTGGACCCGTCATGACTTTGAGAACCACGATAAAAATCTCTTCCCGGCCTTCACTCTTGGAATCCCTCCGGAGCAGGTAGAGGCCATTCAGCCCATCGAGTCTGCACCAGCTCTCCCAAGAATATCCCACCCAGACCCACCTACCGCACCCCCATCCCCGTAACCCTGCATTTCCCACAGTCAACCCATCTAGTCTACACTGAACACTGTGGGCAATTTAGCACGGCCAATTCACCCTAACCTGCACATCTTTGGACTGTGGGAGGAAACCGGAGCATCCGGAGGAAACCCACGCAGACATGGGGAGAATGTGCAAACTCCACACAGGCAGTCGCCCGAGGGTGGAATCGAACCCCAGTCCCTGGCGCTGTGAGGCAGCAGTGCCAACCATGGAGGGACAGAGGACAGGACATCCAAAATCTCCTTTCCATCAGCAAAACTGACAATAAAAATAAAGTTGGAAAGTGAGAGAAGTGACAAAATTTTAGCAGCAAATACTCCACGTGGACGGTGTTTGTGGTACAGAGAGGAGAGAACATTAACATGCAAACATGCATGAGTGTGAACGCAAAGTGGAGGAGTTCTTCAAAGTCCAGGAAAAACAGCAGCATATTTGTGCATGAACTGGTCATCGCTTGCTGTGTGTATTTTGTTCATCAGTGATCAAACAGACCATCACTGGGACAGTCACAGACCCAGGTGGTGCACAATGTAGGCAGAAGCAAAACCAAACCAGAGCCATAAGGTTGGACATAACTCTCTGAGATATGTCAGAATCGCTTGTTCAACCTTCCAGATGAGGGTCAGTAATGCTCCACATTTGCCCTCACCTTTACTGAACATCACTGTGTGGGACCTGAGACACTCTCATTATGTTACATTATTTCAGCTTCTGTGCTTAAGTGGTAAAAGAAAAA